ATTCCCGTGCTTGCTGACCTACATTAGTGTCCTATTAAGCAAAGCCTTGATTTTGAAATTTACACAACTATTTTCAAGTCTGTCCCTGGCATCACCCCACCCCGCAAGCTCTGTCATCTTCATAAGCCTCTGAAATATCTGTGTTTCCTCCAAATCCAGCCAAATGGGCAGCCCTGATTTCCACCAGTTCATTATTGGCTATCCCTTCATCTGCGTATGACCCAAGTCCTCAATTTCTCCCCTTAAGACCCTCTTGCCTTTCTTCTCCTTTAAAACACTTCTCACAACATTCCACTTCCGTCAAACATTTGGGCATCTTCCCTAATACTGTGTCTGTGTACACAGCGCTGTGTTAAATTTGTTTAATTATGCTCCTGTGAAGCTCAAAGAAATTTTACAACATTAAAGGTGTGCTATATCAATACAAGTTGTCATTATCATGGCCTAAAGAGAACTGGCCGAACAGCAAAAGAGATGAAAGAGGAACAGGAGGGAGGGAGAATTAAATATCAACACAAATATAATAGATTCTCAGTTATGTTTTTCTGTGCATAAAGTAAACCTACTCTATGCCGAGCTTTTAAAATTTACATCTTTGGAAAGTCACGTCAGTACAGATACCAGGAACCTGCACACTGCGTTCCATCATTCATCTGCAATGATTAAGCACTGGCAATCTAGCCCCATGCCAGGCAAGATTTAATATTTTATTCACTTGTTTGTTCTGTTTGAACAGCAGGAGGAGGTTTATTCTTAATTTCTTTTGTTTCATAGAACGAGAACATAGAACAGTGCAGCACAGTACAGGCCCTTCGGCTCACGATGTTGTGCCAAACTTTTACCCTAATCCTAAGGTCTATCTAACCTCCACCCCTACCTTATACTATCATCCATATGCCTACTTAATAGCCACTTAAATGACCCCAATGAGGCCGACTCCACTACCCTCTCTGGCAATGCATTCCAAGCCCTGACCACTCTCTGAGTAAAGAACCTACCTCTGACGTCTCCCCTATATCTACCTCCACTCACTTTAAAACTATGCCCCGTCGTAATAGCTACCTCCACCCTAGGAAAAAGTCTCTGGCTGTCCACTCTATCTATACCTCTGATCATTTTGTACACCACTATCAAGTCACGTCTCATCCTTCGTCGTTCTAGAGAGAAAAGCCCCAGCTCTCTCAACCTTTCCTTGTAAGACCTTCCCTCCATTCCAGGCAACATCCTGGTAAATCTCCTCTGCACCTTTTCCAACGCTTCCACATCTTTCCTGTAATGAGGCGACCAGAACTGGACACAATACTCCAGATGTGGCCGAACCAGGGTTTTGAATAGCTGGAGCATAACTTCACGGCTCTTGAACTCAATCCCTCTATTAATGAAAGCCATCACACCCTACGCCTTCTTAACAACTCTATCCACCTGGGTGGTAGCTTTCAAGGAACTGTGGACATGAACCCCAAGATCCCTCTGCTCCTCCACACTGCCAAGAATCTTTCCATTAACCCTGTATTCTGCTTTCAAGTTTGTCCTTCCACAATGAATCACCTCACACTTTTCAGGGTTAAACTCTATCAGCCACTTCTCAGCCCAGCTCTGCATCCTATCAATGTCCCTTTGTAACCTAGAACAGCTCTTCGCACTATCCACAATGCGACCCACCTTTGTATCGTCCGCGAACTTACTAATACACCCTTCCACTCCTTCATCCAAATCATTTACAAAAATCACAAATAGAAGAGGACCCAGAACAGATCCTTGTGGTACACCACTCGTAACTGAGCACCATGTTGAATATTTTCTGTCCACTACCACCCTTTGTCTTCTAAGGGTCAGCCAATTCTGAATCCAATCTGCTACATTTCCCCCTATCCCATGCCTCCTTACCTTCTGCATGAGCCTATCATGGGGAACCTTATCAAACACCTTACTTAAATCCACGTATACCACATCCACTGCTCTACCTTCATCCACGTGTTTGGTCACTTCTTCAAAGAATTCAATAAGGTTTGTGAGGCATGATCTACCCCTCAAAAATCCATGCTGACTATACGAAAAGGATAGACAAGCTAGGCATATATCCTCAGGAGTTTAGAAGAGTTAGAGGTGACTTAATTAAAACATAGTCCTGAGGGGACTAGGTGAAGAAACTCTTGATCAAAACACCAAGATTTGCTAGAGTCTACACCTTTAGATATAAATAAATTCATGGGAACATTGATTAATTATTTATCCCATTATATTTTGTATATGGTCCAATGCTGCACACATGGCCTGGAAAATAAACACCCCTGACATATATAGTGTAAAAAAAAATTCATAATCTTTGTTTTTCTTCACTTTCTTCTTTTGCTTCTCTCTTGTTAAGGCTTTTTTTTAAAACAAGGAACAGGAGTAAACCAGGTAATGTTCTGGAGACCTGTATTCGAATCCTGCCATGGCAGATGGTGGATTTTGAATTTAAAAAAAAATAATCAGGAGTCAAAAGTCTAATGATGACCATGAAACCATTGTCAATGTGATCTGGTTCACTAATGTCTTTTAGGGAAGGAAACTGTCATCCTTACTCAGTCTGCCCTACATGCAAATCCAGACCCATGGCAATGTGCTTGACTCTTAACTGCCACAGGATGGGCAATAAACGCTGGCCTAGGCAGTGATGCCCTCATCCTGTGAATTAAATTTCTTTATAAAAATAACTTGGTCCTTAAAGCCTGGTCCTCCATTCAACAAGATCATGGCTGATCTGGTTTTAATCTCAACTCTAGACATCACCAATAATATTTCATCCTTTTGGTAATCAAGAATCTATCTATCTCTGCCTTAAAAATAGATTCACAGCTCTCTGCGAGAATGTTTTTCCCTTATCTCTGCATTAAATGGTTGCGTCTTATTTTTAAACTATGTTTAGATTCTCCCACAACAGGAAACACCTTTTCCACATCTACCCGACCAAGTCCCCTCAGGACTATGTTTTAATTGAGTCACCTCTACTTCTTCTAAACTCCTGAGGATATATGCCTAGCTTGTCTGTCCTTTTCTTATGAAGGTAAGCTGTTAATTCCACCTACTGATTTAGTGAACCTTCTCTGAACTACTTGCAATTCATTACATTCTTCCATAACTACAACGTGAAGAAGTGATTTCTTGAAATGCAGGGGAAACTGAATCACTGATATTATTTGGGTTTGCTGTTTCCCCGCCAAGATGTCCATTTCCAAATGTTCTATGTAGGAATCGGAGCAGAACTGGTAAACCTGGTTGCAAAGTAGAAAAAAAAACTAAAGGAAGATGCTTTGTAGATTGCAAGTCAGTTCTGTCAGCTCAAAATGTCTAAATCCACTCGACTTCAGAGGTTCCACTTTGTTACTGATGAAAACAACACTTAAAAAATATTCCATTCGACCATTAGAAATAGGAGCAGAATTAGAGCATTTGGCCTGTTGAGTCTGCTCCACTATTCAAATCATGTCTGATATGTTTGTCAACCCCATTCTCCTGCCTTTGCCTTGTAACTTTTGATCCCGTTACTACTCAAGAACCTATATAATCTCTGTCTTAAACACATTCAATGACTTGGCCTCCACAGCCTTACGCAACAGCGAGTTCCGCAGATTCACCACCCTCTGGCAGAAGAAATTCTTCATCTCAGTTTTATAAAGTGTCATGCTTTCACTCTGAGGCTGTGCCCTTCAGCCTTAGTCTCTCCTACTAGTGGAAACATCTTCTCCATGTCCACACTATCCAGGCCTCTCAGTATTCTGTAAGTTTTAATGACATCCCTCCCTTCACCTTATAAACTCCATCAAGTACAATCTAATCTAGAGTCCTCAACCACTCCTGTTATGACAAGCCCTTCATCCCCTAGATCATTCTGTAAACTTCTTCTGGACTCTCTCCGATGCTTGCACATCCTTCCTTAGATATGGGGCCAAAAACTGCTCACAATATTCTAAATGCGGTCTGACAAGAGCTTTATACAACCTCAGCAGTACATCCCTGCTGTTGTGTTCTAGTCCTCTTGAAATGAATGCTAATATTGCATTTGATTTCCTAACTGCAAACGGAATCTGCATGTTAACCTTAAAAATTCCTGAGCGAGGATTCCCAAGTTCCTTTGTGCTTCAGATTTCTGAAGCATTTCCCCAATTAAAAAATAGCCTGTGCCTTTATTCTACCCACCAAAGTGCATAACTTCATACTTTCCCGTGCTGCATTCCATCTGCTACTTCTCTGCCTACTCTCCTGGCCTGCCCAAGTCCCATCTGCAGCCTCCCAGTTCCTCAACATTACTTGCCCCTCCACTTAACCTTGTGTCATCTGCAAACTTAGCAACAATGCCCTCAGTTCCTTTGTACAGATAGTCAATATATAATATGAATAGTTGTGTTCCCAGCAGTGACCTCTGTGGAACTCCACTATTCAAAAGAAAACTGAAATATTTAATTTCTATCTGGCAACAATCTACAGACAAAAAATCATCTTTTGATCTCACAGCAGCACATTCACAGCAAATAAATCTGTGCCTGAGCTAACAAATCTGCATCTCAACAATGAAAAATACATGACATCCCCTCCCCACAAATCTTTATAAGCAGCATATTCTTGAGTTTATTCTGAGCCACATTGTGGGAATATGTGGCAGCAGTAGATGAAATAATATCTAGAGCTAAACTGCCCCACTACCTCTCACTGTCATTCAGTAACTTAGAAACATATGAAAAGAAACGAAGATCTTTGCATGTTACTCCCGCTATATCTGACAAATGTACAGGAGCATGTTCCGACAGGAATCCCAGGATAGGAACCGAGTACAGTGAGCCTCGTCTACTTATTCCTCACCCCAAGTGTTGCTTCCATTTGTTTTAAAATCGCTATATATTTCTCCAGAATATTGTGATATTAAACACAGTGGAGTCTTTCATAACAAAGACAAACAGACCTTACACAACCGGTTATCGCTGTCTGAAAATGGAAAGTGCAAAAATTGCAAGACTTACCAGGAGACATTGACACCAATATAATGCAATCCCCAGTATAAGCCCAAGGCACCAAGCAGCAATCCAATTGAAGTAGTAACATAATGGATGAGTTTGATATTCTCAGGTATGTATCTGCCCAGCAGAAAGCCAAGTGCAACACCTAAAATTCCAAAGAGAATTATTAATAACAATTTATTTTGATCCTCCAAGATTAGGAGTGTTTCCACGCTTAAAAGTTTTGCAGGCAATCTTTAATAGTTGAATCATGCAGTGAATGTGACATGGCATGTTAAAACAAACCAGTATTTTCCACCAAAGTGATTGGATGTGGGTTCTCAGAATTTTCCATCAACAAATGTTATTACTTTGGAAAGGTTGCGACTAAAACTGAAGTATTTATGGAAAGAAAATGACAAAAGTTAACCTACTGGTATCCAGTTTTGGAAGGGTACAGAAGTTTATTGCCCATTTCCACTGAGTTATAGATAACTGGTGCCTCAGGAAGGGTTGCAAGAGAAATGGGAGCCCAATCCCCCATGTAAAAATGAATGAAAGTTTTATAGTGTCTTACTCCAAATTTCAGTGTACTTGATTCATTTGCAATGAAAGGAAGCAATCAAATGGAGTTTATTAATACCTCTCTGACTTGAACATTGGAGAACTGCAAAATTTGCCAAATGAAACAAATGGTCTCTATCTTCCAAAAAGATGTATTTTAGTCTTAGATCAGGCATTAAACTTAAGACCATAAGACATAGGAGCAGAAATTAGGCCATTCGGCCCATCGAGTCTGCTCCACCATTCAATCATGGCTGATAAGTTTCTCAACCCCATTCTCCTGCTTTCTCCCCGTAACCCTTGATCCCCTTGATAATCAAGAACCTATCAGTCTCAGTCTTAAATGTACTCAATGACCTGGCCTCCACAGCCTTCTGTGGTAGTGAATTCCATAGATTCACCACTCTCTGGCTGAAGAAGTTTCTCCTTATCTCCGTTCTAAAAGGCCTTGCATTTACTCTATGTGTACACTTATGTGTATTTTTGTTGCACCACACTACATAACTATTGCAAATTCTTGAGACATTCACTACACTAAATATTCCCATCCGCAGACAATGCCCTAAAGAGAAAACAAACTACAATATCTGCCCAGATTTGTTTAGAATAAAAACCATACAAATACTGCTGGTTTCGTTGAGCTGTTATAGAAAGATTCACAACCAATATTTTGGGCATGGCATGAGTTTATGTTTACTTGCTCTTATGGTGATGGCATTGCCAAAGATGCCAACATTCATTGTTGCCATGCAAGGTTCTCTGGTAAACACTGGTAGCTGCTTGGGACAGATTTGTTTGCCACCATTCTGGTGGAACAGGTGACTATCTCAATCGGAAAAGGAAAAAATTACAAATTAAAATTTAATACAATTATCAGGACTATCAGTACAACCAACAGAATCTCCCATCCACAAACTGGTCACTGAACATTTTGTAATTAAAGCTCTAACCTGTAAATATTCCAGCAAGTACTTGATGTGGAAAATGAGCCAAAATAAATATTCGGGAGATTCCGATTGCCAGCAACATCACAAAGTACAATATGATGGGAGCGTTCTTTGCCATTGAGCTTAAAACAGATTAAAAATCAATGTTAATTAAAATATAGGATAATTGTTAAAACTTCCAAAGTTTATTCTAAAAGATATTGCTGCTAGACTAAGTCTGCAGCAGGTGGTGAAGGAACCAGCGAGTGGGAAAAATATTTTTGGCCTCATCCCCGCCAATCTGCCTACTGTAGATGCATCTAAAAGGCACAAGTCAGGATGGGGTTTTGGAATACCTCCCTGCTTCTCTGGATGGGTACAGCTCCAACAACACTCAAGAAGCTTGGACAAAGCAGCCCGTTTGATTGGCACCACATCCACAAATATTCACTTCCTCTACCACTGACAGTCACAAGCAGTAGTGTGTACTATCTACAAGACGCCCTGCAGAAATTCGCCTCAGTTTGTCAGACAGCACCTTCCAGATAGCATGGTGGCTCAGTGCTTAGCACTGCTGCCTCACAGTGCCAGGGATCCAGGTTCAATTCCACCCTCAGGCGACTGTCTGTATGGACTTTGCAAGTTCTCCCTGTGTGTGTGGATTTCCGCTAGGTGCTCCAGTTTCCTCCCACAGTCCAAAGATGTGCAAGTTAGAATGGCCATGCTAAATTATCCATAGTGTTCAGGGATGTGTGAGTTAGGTGTGTTAGCCATTGGAAATGCAGGGTTACAGGGACAGGGCAGGGGGATGGGTCTGGGTGGGATGCTGTTCGGAGGGTCGGTGTGGACTTGTTGGGCCGAATGGCTTGTTTCCACACTGTAGGGGTTCTATTTATTCTATGGAAAACCATGACCACTCCCAATGTAGAAGCACAAAAGGCAGGAGATTTAGGGAGCACCATTACATGCAAATTCCCCTTGAAGCCACTCAGCATTCTGATTTGGAAATGTACTGCTGTTCCTTCAGTGTCGTTGGGTCAAAATCCTGGAACTGCCGCCCGAACAGCACTATGAGTGTGCTACACCAAATGGCCTGCAGTAGTTCTGGAAGGTAGCTCACCAAGGATAATCAGGGTTGGGTAAAAAATGTTGGCCCAGCTAGTGAAACTCACACCCCCGAAAGAATTAAACAAAACTCTGTGTTGGGGAATAGGGAACTCTCACTTATCCAGCAGCAATCAAGGTTAAATAGCTTTGGGAGATTAACAGCCAAACGCCAGCAACAGTTCCTGAAACTATGGCTTAACCCAAACAAGGCTGGGTTTAAGCAAATCGGTTGGTAGTGACAACTTCCAACTACTAACAAGTGACACCTGCCAATTGTACACAAGTTACAATTTCAGTTGTGGGCAGAATAAGCTTATTTATTATGCTCTATGTGTTCAAATAATCTGCCAATGCTTTCGTTTACATGAGAATAATACACAATAAAGGTGAGAGCAACTAATGTGCACAAAATCATATCCAGACAAGAACTAACTCCTTCAGAAACCGATTTGGAAACTGTTAGCGAGAGAAAGGGAGTAAATTTAAATTTATGCAACCTGGGTTGAATAATTCATTGATTTTTTTTGACAGTTCAAGCAGCACAAACCTTCTGGTGCGATCATAAATGAATGCGGAAAGTGTGGTCATCATAACCCACCAGGCTGCACCTGTGATCATGGCATGACCTGAAGGACTACCTAAAGTGAAAAAACACAGCAGCATGTTATTTACCAAATCACAAAAAATAGTTAAGTAGTACGACTGATTGAAGGAATTGAATGTGAGCTATCCGCTTTGCTGCAGTGGGTTGGTGCACACTCTGATAACTAAGTTCCTGCACACCTGGGAAGTTCATAGCATCTCAGTCTTAATCATTAAAATGTTGATGTACGTAGAGTGTAGTTTCAATTATTACGATAGTAGAGACATCACCATGTGTCCCTATGACTGATGGCTTAATTCAGTTGCTCCCATTTTTGACAAATGATGAAAAGCAAAAATACATCTTTTGAAAGAGCTGGAACAATAGTCATTGTTAGTTTTGGCATTACATGTATATCAACAGGAGAGATCTGACAGAAAGGAATGGTTAATAAAAAGCAAAAGAAATGTGGATGCTGTAAATCAGGAAACAAAACAGAAATTACTGCAAAAGCTCAGCAGGTCTGGCAGCATCTGTGAAGGAAAAAGCAGAGTTAATGTTTCAGGTCCAGTGGCTGTTCCTCAGAACTGTTCCTCAACCCGAAATGTTAACTCTGTTTTTCCCTTCACAGAAAGGAATGGTTGCACTACACATTGACCTACACTATTCTTCTCATCAATGGGTAGCCTACATTATTTCACAATAATTAAATGCAGATTAAATTCCACACATTTGCAATGATGGATAAAAATCCTTCAGTAAGGAATTCTTCATTAACTACTGGCCTGACCAAGGTCAGTACTGATGGGTAGGACACATCAGTAATGCAACAACAGCAGGTCAGATAACATTTAGTGTGGAATCACACCAGCTTGCACTGTTAATGCACTGAAACACAGGAGTGTCATCAAATGGAATGCTTGAACAGTGGTTCTAGCAGCTGATGAGCTGGCAGTGTTATAGTAGTGGAAATAAGCAGTTTGAACAAAGCAAGCAGCAGAAGAGAGTACATTTTTACCCTTCTCAGACAGATTCTCATCAAGGCCTTGATGGCGATACAAGCATCAACATTAAACTCAAGGATGGCAAATGCCTTGTTCCCAAGTCAGAGATTCCGGAGGAAGAAATAGAGAGTGGTAGCAAAAGTCAATGTACTGATAGAGTCAGCTCCCAGCGTGGTGATACAAAATAAAACAAAGAATGCAGATGCTACAGATCTGAAAAGAAAAACAGAAATTGCTGGCGAAACTCAGCAGGTCTGACATCATCTGTGAGAAGAAAGCAGAGTTAAAGTTTCTAGCCCAGTGACTGGTAATCAGAACTGTTAGCAGCTAGGACTTAAGTCCTAGAAATTTCTGTATTTGTCTCAGAGTGGTGAGTTCAGCAAGAAGGAAGTTGGCAACAATAGAGCATAATTGAGGGACACAGTGGGCAGATAGTTAGGAAAAATATAAAGGGGCATTTCAGGTTATCGTTCACAGGGGATAGCACTGAGTGCCTTAATGGACCCCTTGGAGAAAAATTGGGTTGGGATTTCAGATGGCAAAGTATCCAAGCAGAGAAAAAGTAAAATAGGCAGGACAACTGGAGGGAGGAGTCCAGGAGTTTTACATAGAAAGAGGAAAAAGGGGTAAGGAAAATTGGCTCTGATCCAGAATGGTCATCAAAAACTACATGTGAACAGATCTGAGAAACATGAGAAGCAAGAATACATATGTATGGATAATCAGGATTGGTGATAAATAAGGTATAAGAATTCAAAGACAAGGGGAGGGCAATGGAGTCTGATAGTTAAACAGCAGAACAATAGAGGAAGCAATGTTGAAGCTCTTTCCATGAAGATTCCACGAGGTGTATGGAATTAAACACTGGAGCAGAAAACCGTCAGTTTTTGCTACTGATCAGAGTAGATCCAAAAGCCTAAAATACAGTACCAGCAGTGAGCTCCACTAAGGCTGGGTTTTAGGGGGAGCCATGGTTCCAAACTAATTGTCCAAAAAGGTGGTGATGATCCTGTCTGCCATAGTGATGGCTGCACTTCAGCATTTTAACACTGGCGACAGGGTTAATTGCATTAAAGGGGGACTTCTAACCTATTTCAGGAGTAAGTCCTGCCTTAGGGAGTTGCCAATTGAATGGCTAGCAGCACTGCAATCACAGCAGTCACAGGCAACAGTAGTGGCCGCTGCTGGGATTATTGGCAGTCCTAATGAAGAGGAGCCTGGACTTGAAGCAGGTCCAGGGAAGAATCACTCGGGCCAGGCTGTTAAATTAATTATCAATAAAGGTTTGGTTTTGAAACTAACTATTAATTAACGTAAATTTCTGTTTGGAATATCCCAAATATGTCACATTGCTATGGAGATAGGTTGCAGGGAACATTTACAATATAATAGAGCCCTTACCCCTACATACTTGATATTGAACAACTCCTATTCATGACTTCCAGTACAAGTCTTTAAAGCCCCTCAAAATATTCAGTTTACGAAAAAATAAACAAACTTATATTGAGAAACCACATTAAAGTCAATTAATCCTCTAATAGCACTTTTTAAACAATTAATATTTCATTTTGGTCCCTGTTGGGATAAATGTTTTTGTAGCTTTTGAAACTAAATCAAACATTCGTAATGACCTCAGCTGTAATATCAGTTCTTGGGAAAAGTCAATAGTAAATGTTCTATCGAAATTGCCAGATAATCTGTCATTCAAAGCATTTCAGCAAGGGACATATTTTTTAAAACTCCAAATGACATCTTCAACTTGGTTTATTTCCATTTTTTAAAGAGGTGAAGACTTGAACAATTATAAATCATAACATTTAAATAGACCTCTCTCTCCTTCAAGCCATTTACAACTACTCCACAAATTTGTTACTGACTTAAGTTACATGAAATAGCCAAAATGCGGTTTGTTTGAAATCAGCACCGATTTTAAATGGCTATGCTGAGTTTGGGTTTCCCACTTGTGCGAGTCATGCCCAGCTCCTTTCTTCCTGCTAGAAAAAAATAGAATCTATCAGAAATGGGAGTGAGACTTCTACATCCAAGGCCTACCCATTATTTATAAAGGGTTTCTAAAGTCAGCTCGACTCCCCAGAAATCTGGCTCAGTGTTCAACTGAATAGTGATTCACTGGAATTGAATTCATACAATCAAATTTCTGGAAAATAGCAACAATGCAAGAGAACGATTAATTTTCAATTTTGAATGATTAATTATTAATAAAAATGTAATTTCAAGTCATCAAATTCAATTTTGTTTTATTTGTTACACTTAATAATTTAAATAGGTCTTTAACAGGAGAGAAAGTGCATTGAAAAACTGAAAGAGAACTCTATTGTTAAACAAACATTGTCTCTTAGAAATAAAATATAGAAATTTGGGTGTTAATTTCAGTTATCACTTTAAGCAAAGATACAGATAAAAATGGCCAGCCTGTTCACAGAATTGGCACAGCGCACTTTATTTGGACGAACCTGGACCAGTTTCGCAGGAGGAGTAAAACTGCTTTAATTTGGGCATCTGCTGCTCACTGTAGACCCCGGATTCATGAATCCACCAAAACGGACGCTCGCCAAACAGCAACCTATTTAGAAATGTACAAAACATTTAGAATTGATCTGCAAAAACAATGGTGCCTGATAGACCATGAATTGAATGTACTTTTTGATTATCTAGATGTTCTTGAAGGGCTTTCGAAGTATATTACTAAAACAAAAGCAGATGTACGACTTCAGTTGCCTGATCAATGGGTGATTCAAACGCAATTTATAACAATTAAGGTGTTCTAGAATATCCATGAACATTCCCAAAGTTTGTGCTCAAACTCATTTAATTTGTATATTGACAAATGCAAATTCTACTATGTTGCAGCCCATTCAGGTAGTGTTTTTAAACCTTTTTTTTAATAATTGTCTTTAAAAATACTTCTTGAAACATTTAAACAGTAGTTACTTGGTAGTTTGATTAATTCAGCTGAAAATGGATAATTGCAACAAATTACCATTATTACAACATTAATCCATCACCTCAGTAATCTGATGTTAATGACTGAAATTTACTTATAAAAAATACTTTAAAATTTTGTTTTTTGCTAGACTGCAGTAAAGTATCAGTTCCTCATTGCACTCAAAACATTTCAAATCACATTAATTAACATCCAACTTTTTAAAAATCTCCTTGAAGACCTGCAAATAAGCATAATTTGTTGAAAGTCTGATGGTGATTAATTTACCTGACTTAGCCTACTTGTGACTCCAAACCCGCAGCAATGTGGCCGATTCTAAGCTACCCTCTTGGGTATTGGGATTGGGCAATAAATGCTGGCCCAGAGACACCCTCTTCCTCTGAGCAAATAATAGGCAAAGCCACTTGGCCCCTTGAGCCTGCTCTATCATTTAACAATATCGTGGCTGTAAAGTAGGAGGCAGTGTGTGTTAATAAAGGATATACACTCATATGGGCAGGATGTACCAATGTGTGTTCCCCAGGTCTATTCTATGACTGCAATGTGCCACCACATTTATTAATGATTTGGATGTAGTACAAATTTGTACATTCAAATCTGCAGATGACAATAATTTCGGTGGGATAATAAGTGAATGTGGTAGCATCTGGCTGCAAGTGAATTCGATTACATGAGTAGGCAAAACTATGGCAAGTGGAATTTAATGTAGTCAAGTGTGATGTCATCTATTTTGAACTGAAGGAAGATAAATTAGAGTACTTTCTAAATTGTGAGAAACCAGCAACTCTAAAGGAGAAAAGATTTGCAAATCCACGTATGCAAATCATCAATAATTAATAGGTAGGCAAAAAAGATCTGGAAAAGTGTCTTCTGACCAGTTCCCATAGTACAACAACTCCCCATATTGGTTATGGTCGATGGCAAGATCCTGAAAAAGTGCTCCATTCTATCTTGGAACCTTCCCCTTGACACAGGCAGACATTGACAATAAAATTCATCATCACTTCCAATATGTCAGCTCAGCCTTCAGTCAACCAAGGTGAAGAGTATTTAAACATCAGGGTCTTTAACTCAAAACTAAGGTCATTGTTTACCGGGCAGCAGGGATCCCATGTTCCCATATGCTTCAGAGATTTATACAACCTACCACAAATATCTCAAAGAACTGGAGAACTACCATCAGTAGCACCTTCACAAGATCCATAAATTTAGTGACAAGGAAGGTTGTCATTTATTTTAAGACAGAATAAATTGAAGCCCAGGATCAAGGGCACAGAACAAAAGAGTAACATCACAGGTAAACCATAAGTTCATTGATTGGCGATAGCCACTAATTTGATTATTACAGGTTAAATAGGGGATGTATTTACAAGCTACAAACTAAAAGATCTGTATGATTTTCTTAAAAATCAAATTAAGAATGAAGTAATCAAAATAGAGATGCTGGGCCAGATGAAGTATGGTAACTGCATGACATGGGAGCTGGTGGACCCCATTGTCGTTCATACTGACCACATCATAACAAGTGGTTGCTTGGGGAAATCTGACTCAGAGTTGATGAGCTGGAGCTTGAGCTTCCAAAACGACAACACATCAGTGGGGCAAGAGTTATCTGGATGCTGTATTTCAGGAGGCAGTCACACCCCTTAGATTAATTACCTCAAATTTGGTCAGTGGTCAGGCACAGGAGAGGGTGACTACCAACAAGGCAGGTAAAGGGATCCAGGAGGTAATGCTGGAGGAGCCTTAGCCCTTGAGCATGTCTAATAGGTTTGAGATTCTTGCTCCCTCTGTGGATGAGAGTGGGGGCTTTAGGGAGGTTAGGCAAAGTGGCCATAGCACTGTGGTACAGGGAGCCATTCAAGAGGTGGGGGGGAGAAAAGAATAGTGTAGTTATAACCAGGGATAGTGTAGTCAGGGAAATAGACCCTGTTCTCTGTGGCCACGATAGAGAATCCCAAAGGCTGTATTGCTTGCCTGTTGCCTGGGTTTTCAGGATGTCTCATCAGGCCTGCAGAGGAACCTGGAGTGGGAGGGAAAAGTTTCAGTTGTTGTGGTCCATGTAGGTACTGAGGACACAGGCAGAAAGAGGAAAGAGGCTCTCCTGACAGAATATAAGCAGCTAGGGGCTAAATTGAAAAGCAGAACCATAAAGGTAATAATCTCTGGATTACTACCTGAGCCACAAGCAAATTGGCATAGGATCAACAAGATGAAAGAGGTAAATGCATGGCTCAAAGAATGGTGTGGGAGAAAAAGGTTCAAATTCATGGGACATTGGCACCAGCATTGGGAAAGGGTGGAGCTATTCTGATGGGATGGGCTCCACCTGAATCACACCAGAACCAGAGTTCTGGAAAATTGCATAATTAGGGCTGTGGACAGGGCTTTAAATAAAAAGGGGGGTCAGGGAGGGGTTGCATGAACAATGATAAATAGAGGAGGCTCAGCAGAGGTTATTAAAGTATCCAAAATAAATAACACAACAGGAAGTATGTAAAGAGTCAGTAATCTAACTTCAGGTACAGCTGGTATGTAGGGGGGTGGTGGTCAACATAGGACTGAGGGTAATTAAATGCAGACAGCATAGAAAACAAGGTAAATGAGCTTGTAGTGCAGATTGAAATTGGCAGGTACAATGGTGTGGGCATCACAGAGACATGGCTGCAAGGGGATCAGGGCTGGGAATAAATATCCAAGGATATACTTCTTGTCGAAGGACAAGCAGATGAGCAGAGGGGGGCAGGATTGCCTTGTTAGTAAGGAATGAAATAAATCGATAGCAAGAAGTGATAAAGAGTCAGAAGGCATAGAATCTATGTGAGTAGAGTGGAGGAACCAGTAATTAGGATATGGGAAGAACACAAATCGGGAGATAGAAAAGGCATGTAAGAAAGGCACAATTACAATACGATTTTGAGAAAGGGTCACTGGACCCGGAACGTTAACTCTGATTTTTTTTTTCCACAGATGCTGCCAGACCTGCTGAGCTTTTCCAGCAACTTCTGTTTTTGTTCCCGATTTACAGCATCCACAGTTCTTTCAGTTTTTACAATTACAATCATCATAGGGGACTTCAATATGCAGGTGGACTGGGAAAATCAGGTTGGCAGTGGATCTCAAGAAAAGGAATTTGTGGCATGTCTCCGAGATTTTTTTTTGGAGCAGCTTGTGGTAGAACCCACTAGAGAACAGGCGATTCTGGATTTGGTGATGTGTATATGAGGCAGACTTGTTTAAGGAGCTAAAGGTGAAGGAACCTCTAGGGAGCAGTGACCACAATATCATAGTATTCATCCTGCAGTTTGAGAGGGAGAAGCTGGAATCAGATGTAACAGTATTGCAGTTGAGCAAAAGATAACTACAAGGACATGAGGGAGGAACTGGCCAGAGTTGATTTGAAGGAGAGCCAAGCAGGGAAGATGGTGGAGCAACAATGGAAGGAGTTTCTGGGGGTAATTCAGGAGGCACAGCCAAAATTCATCCCAAAGAAGTAGAAACATACAAAGGGAGGATCAGGCAGCCTTGGCTGACAAGGGAAGTCAGGGACACCATAAAAGCAAAGGAAAAAGCATGCAACCAAACCCACCAGCTTGGTGAACACGTCTACAACCTCATCCACAACCCAAACTACAAATCTTCTCGAAAACTTTGAAAAAGCATACAATGTGGTGAAGATTAGTGGAAAACCAGAGGATCGGGAAGCCTTTAAAAACCAGCAGAGGGTCACTAGAAAAGTAATAAAGGGACAGAAGATGACATTTGAGAGCAAGCTAACTAGTACAACAAACTTTGTTTTGACTGGCACGTTATGAACCCGCACACCTGATAAACTGGCAAAAATTATCTACCTCAAATACCAGAAGTTTAACGTATTGACAGGATTTCCACAACATCTGAGTAGTCAGTTGAGGGTGAGAGTGAGAAGGCTGTCTGCTGGTAAGTTTCCTTTAAGGCAAAGTTGCATTATGATTTAAGTGACTTGTGCTGTAAATAAAGTACAATAATGACCTCTCTACACCCTGCATTATATTTCCATTACTTAGCGTGTGTTTTTATGTTGATTATGTGTTCTTCTTGATCAACTGGAATATTTCATCAACTAACACAATCTTGGTCCCATATGTGCCAGTTAATAAAATATTTGCTATAATATAAAAGAAGATTGCAAGAGTTTTTTTTTTAAGATGTATAAAAGGTAAGCGAGAGGCAAGAGTGGATATTGGATGACTAGAAAATTAGGCTGGAGGAGTAGTAATGGGGAACAAAGAAATGGCAGAGAAACTGGAAAGGTACTTTGCATCAGTCTTCACAGAGGAAGACACCAGCAACATACCAGAACTTCAAGAGAGTTAGGGGCAGAGGTGAATGATGTGGCCATTACCAAAAAGCAGCTACTGGGGAAGCTGAAAGGTCTGAGGGTGGATAAACTACCCGGACCAGATGGATTACACCCTAGAGTTCTGAAGGAGATAGCTGAGCATGTGGAGGCATTGGTGGTGATCTTGCAGAAATCAGTGGAATCAGGGAGGGTCCCACAGGAGTGCAAAATAGCTAATGTAACACCCCTGTTTAAGAAGGGAGAGACGCAGTAGGCAGAAAACTATAGGCTGGTTAGTCTGATCCTAGTCATTAGTAAGATTTTAGAGTCCATTATCAAGGATGAGATTGCAGAATACTTGCAAGTGCATGGTAAAATAGGGCCGAATCAGCACGGCTTTGTCAAGGGGAGGTGATGCCTGACAAATCTATTAGGATTCGTTGAGGAGGTAACGAGCAAGTTAGACAAAGGAGAGCCAGTGGGCGTGATCTATTTCCAGAACGCCATTGACAAGGTGCCACACAGGAGACTACTAAATAAGAGCCCATGATGTTACGGC